ACGACAGTGAAATCAAATTTTGCAGAGCACCTAATTGAAACGTGACATGAATATAAAAATATGATCCGATTTTCATGAATTTTGGTATAAACGTGTAAACCTACGTTAACGAGCTCGCGAACCGGCATGATCGGACCATGGGAACGAGGGTTTAATGGGGGAAAAATGCATTTTTCCATCCTTTGACCCTAAAAACAAAACATTTTGCTATTTCTTTCTAAACCATTTTGTAGAGCTTAAAAAAAGAAATAATTTAGTATATTGAAGCGCTGTTGTATGCCTAACGGTCACGGAGAAAATTTATAAAAAGTGTAATTTAAAATTCCCATGTCATTCTCATGGAGAAAATGAAAACTGTTGGAGTTTACTTGTGTTGTTGTGGTTTACGGATATATTTTGATAAAATTTGGCAAATTTATTTATTTCATTCTATACAATTGACGTATGGTCAAAAAACATGTTTTACCTTTCCCGTAGTAGCAAACCTCGTTAACACTCGTTAAATCTAATGTTATTGAAATTGGGAATAAATATGTCATATTTATAAAAAAAATGTAACCAGACAAGTTGAAATTCGCTTCGTCTGCAGGTTTGCTGCGGTGGGGGTATTTTATTGTCCTTGATGATTTGTAGAAAGTTTTTCAAACATTGTACTTTTGGATATTTCATGTTTAGTTTGATATACTGAAAATAAGAATGTGTCTTTGATAAATTTCTTCAGGTGTCTAGGTCTGATAATCACAAAATTGAAAGTTCTCACCAGTATTAGAGACCACTGCTCTTCTATTGCTTATAGCTATATTTTTATAACCTTTTACTTTAGAAGATATATTTATTTATGGATAAGACCCTCACTAAAATAGTATAACAAGAGTAAACTATGGTACGTCACTCGTCCAAAATGTGTTTACTGGACTCGTATGGTAATACTTACTTACCGGTACTTACTTTTCGTCCAGTAGACACATATTTTCAGGACTAGTAACGTAATAAGCTATAATGTGCTTAATCTGCCATGTCTGATAGACAAGCGAAGAATTTCACACAAGAGGTTCATTGTTGTTGCCAGCTGTCTTCTTTCTTGATACATCAATTCACTTATATTTTGGCTTTTGAATCATCTAATTGTGGGATTTTAGGAAAACTTAACCCTTGTTTTGAATAACATGTAACATGCACTTTCTTTGGTCACTCGGGATTTTCTAGGAATTCATCGCCGCGCGCCATCTGCCTGGGCGTGGACCATGTGCCCAGCCAAGGTGAGGATTAGTGAACCCTTTTTTTACAGAGGTTTACAGATACTGTCAGATCTGAATTGCTACCGACTAAAAGAGGAGGGCTCTGTCCTAGGGCCAGTTCTGTTTGGGCTTTTTATTAATGACTTCCCGGAACACCTTGAGGAATACAGCAAGATGGTCATGTATGCAGACGACACTGTGCTGCTTACAGCAAACAGAAACATAGATCAACTAGAAGTAAACACCTATTTTGCTTTCAATATGACACAGGACTACTGTATGAAAAATGACGTCTTCAATGAAAGTAAGACCAAGCAAATGACTTTTGGAAATAAAAAGTCTACAGTATCTGAAATGCCCAACCTGACAGCAGCTGAAGAAATCAAACATTTAGGTGTCATAATTGATGAAAATTTATCCTGGGATCGTCATGTAGCTTGTCTTTGCCAAAAACTCGGGCCAGCTCGTTTTGTCATAAAACGAACCAAAGAGACTAGTACCCCTGAGGCAACGAGGACTGCATACCATACATTGTTTGAAAGCCAGCTATGGTATTACTGTCTGGGGTGGATCCACTATGGACAATCTTAACCGGGTCCTGGTTATGCAGAAAGAGCTATCAGAATAATACCCCTGCTGCAGCAAACCTGCCGACTAAGCAAATTTCCATTTGCCTGTATTGATTTTCAATTAATCTATTAAATTAAAATTTATGATTAACGAGTACCTAGGTTAGCTGCTACAGGGAAACTTATAAAGTGTGTTTTTTATTAAAATATCAATAGTTTAGTATGAAATAAATAAATCCGCCAAGTTTGATCAAAATATACCCATAAGCAAGCCAACTACAACATTTTACAATATCCACCATAAGAATAACATTGGAATTTTAAATTAACGATTTTTTGAATTTTCTCCATAACCATTCACCGACCAAAAAAAAACTTTGATATACTATATTATTTGTTTTTGTAAGCTCTTTAAAAAGGTCTGGAGAAAAATTTATAAATTTTAGGTTTTAAGTTGAAAAATGAGAAAAACCAATTTTTACCCCATAAAAACCCCCCGTTAAACCCCGTTCCCATGGTCCGATCATGCTGGTTTGCGAACTCATTCAAGTTTATCCCGCCTTACACCTTCAAACCAAATTTTATCAAAATCGGACAAAAATTACTCAAGTTATCGTCCGGACGGACACATATATATAGGGTCTCTATATATACACATATACAAATTTTAACGAATGGTGTTTTTGGCCTCTGGGGACATCAAAATGAAAAAAAAAAACGGTCCCGGGCCTAGGTCTTACCATGAGACCTACGGTAATAGCTACTTCCCTATAGTGAAATTCGGTAATTGCAGGCATAAGTAAAGATCAAAGCTGTAGAGATGCCTTTTAAACCTGAACATCCTGACGGTGACTTCCATCTACATCCTAGATACTGTTTATTACTGTGTAACCAAAGATCCGCCTAAACAAAGAGATATACATGAATACAACACCAGATATGCAGGATTCTATGTGCTGTCTGGCCACAGAACAGCAATGTTTGAAAAGAAACCACTGTATGCAGGAGTTAAGATGCTAAACAAGCTACCAGTCCACTTGAAAATTGGAGGCCCTGTGCTGATGAAGAGGAAGCTACGGAGATGGCTGCTAGACAAAGCTGTCTACACCCTAAAGGAGTTCTTTCAAGATTCAAGATTCAAGATTCAAAGAGTCTTTATTCACACAGTACAAATTTTCGTACATGAATAGTGTCTATTGTCTATTGTTACTTACTACCTAAATTAGCAATAAGAAACATTTAAACAAAATACTATAGGCTACATTATTTTAAATTGAAATTACTAAAATCTTCTATTTTGTAAGGTGCAAGGTCAAGTAAGAATGCCTTCAGATTTTTCATAAATTTAGATTTTTCTTTTTCTTTTTTTAAAAAGCTAGGAAGTTTTCTAAAAAAATAGTTTCCAATATAAGAAGGTTTATTTTTAAAAAGTTCAAGTCTTGGTTTTTCTTTAGCTAAATAATTTTTACCCCTTGTATTATAATTATGCACAGGCAATTCTTGAGTCTCAGCAATATTTAAAAAATATTTAATTGTTTCAAAAATATATACTTTGCATGGCAAGACCACACACAACACTGAAGAAGCTTTTCCATTTCACTTTGTATCTATTATACCAATGTTATTTATTTAAATTTGACTCTGTAACATTTCTTGATGAAATTGTAATAAAGGATATTGTCTATTGTCTATTGTCTATAGGGAATAAAATAAACCATCGGTTAAATTAAATTACAACAGCCACATAACCTCAACAATTTCCAAAATTAGAAGTAGAGTACCTAATTAAATTAATCAAGTAATTCCAAAACACTCTACCATATGTATTAGAGTCCCGATAGTCTGAAATTGTTGGGACCTGACCCATTTCGGACTACCAAATATTTCGGATTAAAAATATGTTTTTAAAATTGATTTTTTAATATTTTTTTTCTTGGACGCTAGGCACAAGACCAGGATTGTTTTTCACATTACTTCAGGACCTAGGGACCAAAAAAATCCATTTTTTTGGGGGGGAGCGAGCTGGCGTAGTGGTTAGAGCGCGGGACTTCAGTCCCTGAGGTCCCGGGTTCGATCCCTGCCAAGTCACCAATGGATTTTATCTAAGTGATAATGCCGCAACCCCTAGGTCTAGCCTGAAGTAATGTGAAAAACAATCCCAGGCTCGTGCCTAGCGTCCTTAGGACAAAAAAAAAAAAAAAAAAAAAAAATTGGTGATTTGGTAGGATTTGAACCCGGTACCTGAGGGACCGAAGCCCCGCATTCTAACCACTAGACCAGCTCACTGCCTGGTCAAATTGTTAAATTCATAGCTTCTACCTGTTCGGCTGCTACAGAATACTTCGACAAGGTACGACAGTGCTAGCAGTTTCGGCTTTTCCCAATAGGTGACGGCACATACTGGGTCTTCACTTTTTGTGTGCAAAATAAACTGCATTAATATCGTCACACAATGTTGCTAAAAGTTTAGACTTTCTCCGATAAGTGAGTGACAGCACGTACTGGATGAAAAACTAACTGAGTACCTCACATACTTGAAATCAACAATACATTATAAATATTGTGTAATATACAACTCATAGGCACAACTAGCTTTACAGTTGGATGATTTGTTTAAAAGGATATTGATTAAGTTGGTTGAAATAGTGTACATCTTTCATAGCTAAGCCTAGTGTAATGTGGATGGTAGTTTGAGGAATTTAAAGATTTTTTTCAAGAAAAATTGTGTCAAAAATAAAATGTCCTCACCATGATTAAACTTTTACTCCTTTGAATATTTATATGGTTTTTTTTTAGTTGTAAACTAACTTCATAATTATTCTGATGGCTATTTTATGGAATTATACATAGTACAGTGGAACCTCACTATAATGAGCCCATAACGAATTACCCCATATCATTTAGTATTTGGCAGTCCCTAAGCAAACGCCATATCATTCAATAGAACGATTAGTCGTTTAAATAAGTTGTTTTAACTGTGTGCGTGTACAAACACACACACAGAGAGACACCGCCTCTTCTTAATAATAGTATAGATGGATAGATTTTGAGGCAGTCATGCATTGCACTTCACTACATAAAAATACTCGACTCAAAATAGTTCGAAGCTTGCAAGGTTTTTGGAAAACTTGACAACCCAAATATTTACTACTCGCACACTCCTACTGTTAACTATACTGTGTACTCAGCTTACCTCATCATAGTTGCTTTTGGTGAAGGAATAAAGGGAGAATTCAGAATAGAGTCCAGCAAGATTCATGGTCTCTCCTGCAGCAAACAGCTTTTCTGCCAGCTCTGCAGCCATCTGTCTGGTCTGCTCTGCAGGTTCAATCATGCAATAGACAGCCTGTGCATGCAGCAACCTTCAACATTTCAGTATGATTTTAAAATATGGCCAATTGAAGTAACTTATTTTATTATCACAAATTGTGGAAATTTATGGGCATGCACTGTGGATGCGATACTCCCTGGTGTGGATTAATGTCTGCACTAGTGAGTACTAAGACTACCCGCAGTACTATCCTGAATTTGTTAATACCAAGGCAAAAATGTGGTTAGGATTCCACTATAAACTCTTGCTCTACCTTGTTGCTCTATTTTCTAAGTCCCTTAGTTGCCATTAGCTGTATGGGCTATTAATTAACAGCTGTGTCAAAGGAATATGTCGGCCTTAGTTTCTAAAAAGACTACAAGATCGTGCCACTCATCCTACACTCATCTCCATTCATGCTTTGCTTAAAATACCTACTTTGTATGGTCGCCATTTCAATGAAAAAGTAAAAAGTATTAGAAGTACTGACAATTTTTTTTTTATTCACTGGTTTTACCATTTTAGCTTAAAGCCTAAAACTGGTCCAAAAGTGGTCCGGTATAAATATATATATTTTTTTTGTTACAGAGTATTGATTATTTTGCATTGTAATGAAAGGAAATAGCTTGAAAAACAGAACAGAGATTCCTCAGACGAAAGATTTGACTTGGACTATGTAGGTAAACTCTAGCAAAAGAGGAATGATTCACTTCCGGCCAGCGACCCAAGACAGACGACAGAGTCCGCTTACTAATCATGGTCAGAGCCAGCGAAATTATAGATCCATATGGGCCAGATTATGGTATTTTTAATAGAGAATCTTGATTGTTGCCGGGGAGAGGACATTTTTAGACTTCCGAGCAGTGAGTCCCAGTACAGATTTGCAGAGGCGCAGGCATTAGTGATGCTGACATTTGACTCCAAGTCAGGAGATAGATGGAATCCTAATTTCTTAACCAAGGAGACTCTCGCCTCCCTCCACAATATTATAGTGGGTGGTCCAATGATGATATGGCTAACCCAATACTGATGATGTTTCAGTAAGCCTAATAATGGGGCAGTGAACAGTTCAACATTGTGCTTTTGTTACTGAAGTTTTCTTAAAAAAATAGTGGAATCTTTGATATTACACCACAGTTATTTTGTAATAGTTTACATGTTCCTCATCAATGTGACGTTTTTGTAGAAATACTATAAAACACTTCCGCCACAACAAACCTGCAGATGCAGAATAAGCGAATTTCCATTTGCCTGGCTGGATTTCTACTAAAATATTCCCTTAAAATTGGCAGATTTATTTCCTATTTAAATCACATTAATTTTAATGAGAACTTAGGTTTGCTACTACAGGCAGGTTTGGTACGTTTTTTTTATTGAAATTTTGATAGCTTAGTATGAAATAAACAAAATTGCCAAATTTCATTAAAACATATCCATAACAAAGAAAATGAAGAATGAGAAAAAGCAAATTACAGCAGTTTATTTATTCTCATAAGAATAACCTGGGAATTTTAAATTAACAATTTGCACTTTCACCCTCTATCTCAGGGGTCTCCAAACTATTTTACTCAAGGGCCACATTAACAATTTTTGGAGGAAATGCGAGCCGGTCCGGACCACTAACATTTCAGTGTAGAAAGGTAGCCCCCCTCCAAATAACCCAGAAAGTGGTAGTTTTCTAATTAAGAGCTCAGCGATGAATTTTGAACATTTCTTGCTAATTTTGTATTGCTCTATAACCTTTTGATTAACTAAAACTCTTTATGTTTTTGTGCGAATGATACTGTACAAAATAATCTACCTACCTCACATAATTATTTAAGGGTATATAAACTGTGCTTGTCATATTTATACTTTGTCATAGCATAAGTAGGCTTATGATTATTCAAATTGATATGAAAGTGAATATAAATCAATTTTACAGTATATTTACCATGACATTAGTATTTGTTCTATAAATGTAAGTTTTGAAGTAGGACTGATGAAAACACAGGATGACACAACTAGTATAGGTAATACTTAGTTTACGTGAAAATTTAGTACTGTATGTTTATAGTCCTTAAATTCTGAACAAAATGGTACAACCCCATTCCCATTCCTGTAGAAATTACGGTTTAAAAGTTATTGTAACTTAAGTTATTTCCCCCCCATAAATTATTATTAGAGAAAAACGGGTAAAAAAAAACTAGCTTTGGTTGATATAATAGTAGAGTCCCAATAGTCCGAAATGGTTGGGACCGGACCCATTTCGGATTACCGAATATTTCGGATTCAGCTAAATGTTTACTAAAATACACGTAACTATGAAATACAACCTTTAAGTTGGCCCATTGGCCTACTAACAACAAGTCTATCTCGCCCAGCAGCTCGGACATTACAGAATACTTTGACCAAGTACAACTAAGTGTCGTAACACGACAGTGCTAGCAGTTTCGGCTTTTCCCCAATAAGTGACAGCACGTACTGGGTTACTTTTTGTGTCTGCATTAATGGCGTTACGCGATGGTGCTAGTAGTTTCAACTTTCCCCGATAGGTGGCAGGTACTGGGTTACTTTTTGTGTCCGCATTAATGGCGTTACGCGATGGTGCTAGTAGTTTCAACTTTCTTGATAGGTGGCAGCACGTACTGGGTCACTTGTTGTTTTTACAATAAATTGCATTGGTTTCACTGTACTGCAATCTTGTTCTTTAGGTTGGCAATTCTGGTGTTCAGAACATCCAATTTATAAAGTAAACAAACCTGGTGTTTAATAACATTTGTGTACACTTTGTAACGTTATCTTTTGAGGTTGTGAATGTGGTGAAATGGCTTCAAAACGTAAACATACTTCGGTTACATTACAAGACAAACTTGAAGTGTCAAAACGATTAGACAATGGTGAAAGTGCGTCAAAATTGGCTGTTGAGTTCATGGAGTGGGGAATGCTACGATCATCGACTGGAAGGAAAACCGGTTAAAAATAACATTAAAGTAACATTAAAATAACACTTGGAAGACAAGTATTGGTTTGTTCTAAAGTGCTCTATTTTATTTATGAAATATTGTGTTATTTAACTTTAACTTTTAAAAGTAGTTTAAACTAAGTAATAATGATACAATAACAGTTTTTAAAAGTTTTTTTCTTTATAACCATTTCAAGAAGACAGTAAATATACTTAATAATATCTGAAATAGTCCTACTTACTAATTGGATGCAAATTGTCACATGTTTTCAGCCATAGTTTCATACCACTTTTATTCTTAAATTTAGAGCACTCACAAGAAGCCAAGCATTTTATATCATTACAAATTATATTTGGAATCATAATTAAAACATTTTGATGATTGAATTAAAGATCAAAGAAGATCACAAAAACTTATATAGTTGGCACTATTTTTATTGGGTTCTAACATCCTGTGTATAAATCCGCCTGGAACATGATCTGAACAGGTTAGGCACTGGACAGGTTAGGCACTGGTGCCTAAACAATACAGACTTACATCAGTTGCTGCACTCTGCCCTCACTGACCACAGACAACCTAGACTCCTCATCAATCAAGGACTGCTTACAAGACCTAATCAGCTGTCTGTTTATTTTGCACCATTTAAAAGCTACAATCACTGGATATTAAATTATTTTTTGCTGATGTGAAGTAATATTCTCAATTAAATGAGAATACATTATTATTATTATTTATTATTTTAAATGATTTAAAATTATTCCTTTAAGTATAAATGATGTACCAAAGGGCTGGCAAAGAAAATAAATTATTAGGAAAACTGGTCTACGTAAAGGGAGAATTGATGTACATATTATATCCCCAAGAGGAAAGATCTTCAGATCAAAAAAGGAGCTTTCTAAATACATCACTGAAAACAAGATACCCCATAATATTGACAATTTTAATTTCTCAGTAAGAAACCCTTTTATGGTAGAATGTTTGGAGGAAACTGTTGTAAATAATGATATTAATTTAAGCAATGTTAGTGATGAAAACGAGCAAACGTCGTAGAGTCCTTCCCATATAACGATTTGTGATGGTAATTCCAGTGATTCCAGTTTAGGCACTTCTCTATGTAACACCACATCGACAATATCATTAAATTCAGATTCATACAAGAGTGATGTAGGCACATCTAATAAAACATTTTCAGTTGCTCCTGAGGTTGTTTCATCAAAGAATAAACTGAAAATACAGGAGAATATACTTGGAAAAAACTGGATCTCAGATCTCTTTTACCTTATTTAAATAGAAAGATATCTTCAGAACGAGAATTGTCTAGCATTAAATCCTCTCATAGTCAGTGGAGTCAAAAATTGCCTGGATTTTGGCTATTTATTAGATCCTTTTGACATTAAAAGCAAAAATGTCCTTATCATGGCAGTAAATAATTCAGACCAAATAACCACAAATGAAAACATCACTGCCGGAACTCACTGGAGCCTTCTTGTGTACAGTAAAGATATCAACAATTTTCTTTAATTTGAATCTGCATTCTTTGCTGAGTTGGGAAATTTGTGTGGATTTTCAAGATTAAGGACAACAAGTTACCACCCATGCACAAATGGCATGGTAGAAAGTTTCCAAAGACAACTCAAGGCGGCCATCATGTGCCACTCCGCCTCCAAGTGGGTTGAATCCTTACCCACAGTGCTTCTTGGAATGGATAAGAAATGCTTTCTGTTCGGATCTGAACACCTCACCTGCAGAAATGGTTTTTGGAGAGGTTTTACACCTCCCTGGCTAGTATTTTATGCCAGCAACCAAGCCAGCACCCCTAGAGGATCAGACTAATTGTGTGTCTCGATTAGGACTCAAGATTTCATCAATAAAACCAACAAATATCAAGAGACACGGCATCAACCGAAGCATCATTGTTTGTGATTAGGACACATGTTTGCACGTTTTTCTGAGGGTGGATGCAATGAGAAAATCTTTACAACATCCATACACTGGACCTCATCCAGTGATCAAGAAAGACAGTAAAAATATCACAATAAAACTCTAATGTTATGTTAGTATTGACAGAGTTAAACCGGCCTATGTCCTTCGATGAAGTTAAACCCTC